GACTGTGTTTGGTAAGAAGCCTCCAGGGCGGGGGGTGGGGGAATAGTCTTAAATTCGATCCCTGGTTGGTGGGGGGGTGGCTGGTAATAGGCTCTGACAAGGGGCCGCTGGAGGGGGTGATGGCGGGGGAGGAAGAGGGAGGAAGCTCGCTGTGAGCAGGTTGGAATGTCTGAAAGGGTTGATGAGAGACATTTATTGGATCATTGCTTCCTGTTTGGGCTGCATTTTCTCTCTCTCTCTCATTCACCCGCCCGCCCGCCCGCCCCCCTGCTCGCCCCCCTGCTCTGACCTACCTCGCCACTTGTCTTCCCATCTGCTGGTTGGTTGGACCTGGAATCCTGACATATGGCACACTGGGCCCTATACTGGGGTTCCTCTTCTCTGCTGGTGTTTTGAGGCCTTGTTGGTGTCAGCTCAGCCTGGTCGCTCTCACACACACACACACACACTCTCTCTTGCTCTCTCTCTCTCTCTGCTCACATTCTTTCTCTCTATCGCTCTTACTTGCCGAGAGGGAGGGAGTGAGAGAGACAAACTCCCTTCTCTTTTTCCAACACCGCCGCGGGAGATCTTTAATGTCCTCCCTGAACTTTAATGTCCACCGCTGTGAAATGGAGTCCTGTAACTCTGGTTAGAGCCCTCGCCTCACAAGCGTGAGGACTCGGGTTTGATTCCCGGGCGGGACAGGACAGGGCGAAACCTTAGGCAAGTTTCTTTATTACACACACACCAGCAGTCAGTAGGAATCCATTTATTAATCAATAGCGGATCACTTTCTGGGGGTAATAATCCCTTTTAAAAAATAATAACGAATTGGTCACTCAATCCACGACTGTTTGTGAGACACTGCTGTGTGCAATTGTCTGCCACGTTTCGGCCTCCCAGCTCCATTTTCTCTTTGTCACCTTGTTCCCTCTCTCTCAAACACTTTGTCCCTCTCTCACATTTCCTCATTCACTCACCCACATTCCCTCGCTCACTTTCTCTTTCACACGCTCACTGGAGTGTAATAATCTAATAATCCTGGCATTTGTCCCAGCGCCTGATCACGTCTTCGAGACGTCTCAAAGCGCTTCACAGGACACACTGTTTTGTGCAGAGACTGTTTTTTGAGTGAAACATGGCAGCCAATTGTGCACAGCAGCATCCAACAAGCAGTGAGACCCAGTGTAGGCAAACAGGGTGTCAAGTCTCTCTCTCTCTCTCTCGCCTCCATGTCAGGAGGTTGTGGGTGCGAGCCCCCACCCCCCCACACACGTTGGGGACTCACAGTCCAGGCTGAGGCTCCAGCACAGCGCTGGGGGGGAGAGAGAGAGCAACATATTGTCGGAGACGCTGTCCTTCAGACGAGACGTTAAACCTCACTCTCTCCTTGTCTATACAAATGTAATCTTGTTGTCTGTGGCCTGTTCAGGGCGGACATTAAAGATCTCCCGCAGCACTGTCCGGGGTGGGGGGAGAGAAGGGGGTTTTTCTCTCTCTCTCTCCCGGTGCCCTGGCCAACAATCCCCCAGATAAAGTCGCTGATTTTTTCTTTCATGGTTGTTTGCAGGGCCTCTCTCTTCTCTCTCTCCTTGCCTCACATTCCTTTCTTCATCTGAACCTCCCTCTCTCTCACTGGAGTGAGTGCTCTAGCGATGGCAGAGGGGTGTGCGTGTGTGTTGTATTGTTAAACGTCTTGCACCCCCCCACCTCCCATGAGAAAGGGGGAGTTTTACTGAGTTGAAACTGGCAGAAAATGTAAAGCTGTGAATCGCATTGTAGCTGCTTGTTATTTATATAGCCACAGCCTCACATCAAAGGCTCAACAACCCTCTCCCATTCCAGCCGAGGGGGGCGGGGGCGGGGGAACCTCTGCAAATAATTATAGCTTCCCTCAAAGCTCACTGCCTCCGTGCTCAAATCTGTCTGCTCCTCCCTCCCTCCCTCACTCACTCACTCATTCCATAACTAATTTGCTTGCTCCCTCCTTTTTACCTCTTTCCTTCCTTCTCACTCCCTCTCTTTCCATAAATCCCGCACTCCACTCTCTCTTTTCCTTCCTCGCTCCTCTCTCTATCCCTCTCTCCCTCCCTCTCTCTCTTCCTCTTACTCCCTCTCTTTCCCTCCCAACCCCTCTCCCTCCCTCCCTCCCTCCCTCCCTCTTCAGTCTACACTTAGAAGAAGCCAATTTCCTCTTTAAGAACGGTGGAAAAAAACTGCTTCCAGATTTCAACTAAAATCTGAATGGAAAAGGGCTGTAAGAGTCCCTGTGTACACTAGTCTCTCACTTGCTATTTGACTGACGTGGAGTCCTGTAGCTCAGGGGTTAGAGCCCTCGCCTCGCAAATGAGAGGATTCCCAGGCGGGTCTGGTCAGGGCGAAACCTGAGGCAACTTTCCTTACTCCACAGACACACACACACACACATTCACACACACACTACCCTGTTTTCCAGCAGTCAGTAGGAACCCGCTTGTTAATCGATTGGGGGATCACTTTCTGGAGGTAATAGTACCTTCAAAACAATAATTGGTCACTCAACCCACGGCTGTTTGGGGGGACGTTGCTGTGCGCAATTAGCTGCCGCGTTTCGCCCACAAAACACACAGTCATTACACTTCACAGTGTGTCCTGTGAAGCTCTTTGAAACGTCTTGAAGAACTGATCAGGCGCTATGTCAAATATATTATTCTATGCACAGAGTGAGTGTCTCTCACTTGCTGTGTGACAATGAGGAGTCACTATGTACACAGAGTGCGAGGGTGGGGGTACAATGACCCCAGGGTTAGGGAGAGGAGACCTCCTCCTGGTCCCTCTACAGCACCCTCTAGTGATAGTGGGAGTTACATGTGGCAGGCGGGTGAGGAGAGGTCAGCCACCCTCTGTAGTGACTGTCGTGTGGATGAGATGTTAGAGCGAGCTCCCTGTCTGTTTAAGAGTGGGGGTGTCCCACAAATCACAATAGAATGTCACAAAGCACTTCACAGGATATACTGTAAAGTGTTTTGCCCACAAAATACAGTCACTACACTTTACACCCGGGGAGGAGAGAGAGAGACAGAGAAACCCCCTTCTCTTTCCCCCCCGACAGCACCACGGGAGACCTTTAACGTCCGCCCTGAACAGGGCACAGACGAGGAGAGACAGAGTGAGGTTGAGTGTGATGAGAGTGAGCCAAACTAACACACAATGAACCAAGGGAAATATTATCCCTTTGAAGGATGACATCAACCCTCTCTCTCTCTCTCGCCCCCTCCCCTTTCCCCTCCACCCGCCAAATGGGCTTGTGTTCTCTGTTGGTTGTTGTATATAGATTCCATATGGGGATGGTTTGCAATTCTGAAGGCCCACATCTAAAGTGCGGATTCCCTTTGATCTTAAGCTCTTGGGGTGCGGAAGATTTATATTATAATCTTACAGCGAAACACATTTTTATTTGGGGGAGAGAAGTGGGAAGGGAGAGAGAGAGGGGGAAAGAGAGAAGGGGGAAGGGGGAAAGAGGGAGGGTGTGAGACGGGGTGGGGAAGTTGTCGTGTGCACTGTCCCCCATCTGTTGGGAACTTGGAAGCATAAAAATTCAATTTTTTAAGCCAGTTGGAAATATTTTATTTGTTCGTCTGAGACGCTGTTCTTCGCTAACTGTTTGCGGGGACGTCGCTATCTGCAAATCGGCTGCCGTGTTAAACACACAATCACTACACATTACAGAGTGCGAGGTGTAAGGCGTTGTATTAGCATAATGATCCTTGCCTTTATCACATCGTCGAGTCGTCTCAAAGCGCTTGACAGGATATACTGTAAAGTGTAGTGACTGTGTTGAGTGGGCAAAACGCTGCAGCCAATTTGCACCCGATGTCCCCACAAACAGTCGTGATGTGAGCGGGAGATCTTTAATGCCGTGAATTACGCACAGTCTAGATTATTGATTAAATCAGATTTTATAGGATTTGTACAGTTTGCCTGTAACTAGGACGTCACACAAGTTATATTACATTGAAACTCAGAGCAGAGTTTTGAACCGGCCGACCAGTCCCTGGGGGCAGGGAATCCTCCCCCTCAGCTCCTGTTAACCCCACAGCCAAAGCCCTGACTAACGGGGAGGGGGGTCCTCGCTGGACAAGCAGCGGGAACGCTGGCCAGACAGCGCTCTCCATGGCCAAGCTGTGTAGTTTGAGCTGGTTAGACTCCAGCAGTTACCCCAACACACACTCTGGGCTCCCCCTAAGCCTCGGCTCTCGCCAAGCTGCGCCTAATACTCTCCGGAATTAGGTAAGTAGGGGGCGTCCCTCCAGGGGGAGGGAGGGAGAGAGAGTGCATCCCATTCCAACAACCTGTCTCTGGGGTTTCTACGTGTAGGTGGGATGTGCGGAATTCTCAGTTGGGTTTGGAGACACCTGACTGACCGCCCAAAAAATAAGTCCCTATGAAATGGTATTGCAATATAAAATGGATGTTGCAGGGATTGAGAGGATACATATCTTGTGCTGAACGGTAGAACCAGAGACGCGCCTGCGGTTGAAGGCGGTAAATTCAGAACCAATCTGCGTAGACATTGGTTCGGTGAGTGAGTAGTAAACGTGTGGAACAGAGGCTCCCGAGGGAGACACTCGGTGGAAGCAGAAAGTGCTGATTGTTTCAAGAACAAATGAGATGGATTTCTGTCGGAAATAGTATCTAGGGACTCTTGAAGAGGAGAGATTTGCAAGGCTATGGGGCAGGAGTCGGACTGAGTGGGCAGCTCTTCCAAAGAGCCAGCACAGCACAATGGGCCAAACAGCCTCCTTCTGTGCTATAATACTCTATGATTCTCTGATTCTTTCATCTCCTGCCCTCCACCCTCCCTGATCCCAACCCTCAGTCCAAATTCCTGACTGTCCAGTGTCTTGGGAGGTCCTCCCAGGGTGAAAGTCAGGTGCTGTGTCAGTGTCATTTTGTATTGTATTGTGTTATGATCCTGGCTGATGGGCCCGATGTGAGTCTCACTGTGACTGTAATGACTGTTCTCCTCTGTGCTCCAGGTCTACGCACAGTCTCCAAATGGCGAAGACTTCCGAGACACCTCCTCCTACCCCTCGTCCAAGGCTCCCAGCTCCATGTTCTCCAGCTCATTCCTCATGCCAGGTAGAAGGTTGCTTGCTTGCTCGCTCGGTCTATTGCTTGCTCGCTCGCTCGCTGTGTGTCCAACCATCTCTCTCTCCCCCCTCCCTCCCCCTGTATATACTGTAAAATGTAGTGACTGTGGGCGAAACGTGGCAGCCAATTGAGCACAGCAAATTGGATCCAGCGCCTATCACATCGGGAGGACGTCCCAAAGCGCTTCACAGGGCGAAACCTTAGACAAGTTTCCTTACTCCACACACACAGACAGACACACACACGTCTCTGTTTACCACCAGTAAGTACCCACTTAGTCGATTGGCGGATCACTTTTCCAGAGGTAACAGTCCCTCCAATAAAATAAAATTGATCACTCAATCCACGACTGTTTGTGTGGACGTCGATGGGCGCAATTGGCTGCCGCGTTTCAGTCACAAAATACAGTCACTGCACTTTACAGTGTATCCTGTGAAGCGCTTTGAGACGTCTCGAAGACATGATAAGGCGCTGTATCAAATGCAAGGATTATTGTATAAAGTGTAGTGACTGTGTGTTTTGTGGGCCATTGCCTCAGACCTCAAGGTACGGAGTTGGGAGTTGCTGGGGAGCGGGGGGTGGGGTGGAGGAGGCAGGGGGCAATGCCCTGGGGGAGGGGGCAAGGCCCTGGGGGAGGGGGCAGGAGGCAATCCCTGGGGGGGGTGAGGTACGAGGCAATTCCCGGGGGGGGTGGAGGGGTGCAGGGGGCAATGCCCTGGGGGTCTGGGCACTGGCGCTGGCTATGCCCACACTCTCTGTCCCCAGCACAGCGCTGATCAGGGCTTCCAGCCTTATCACCACCTGCTCTTTTATAGCCTGATAAACCCTGGCAGCTGTTACTTCACATCTGTCTCAGGCTGTGGCTCAGTCTCTCTCTCTCTCTCTCTCTCTCTCTCTCCTCTGAGTCAGAAGGTTGTGGGTTCGAGCCCCCGCGTCAGGACTTAGAATCACACAGTCTAAGCTGACGCTCCAGTGCAGCGCTGGGGGGGGTGTTGCATTGTCGGAGACGCCATTTTTCGGATGAGACATTAAACCTCACTCTCTCCCCGTCTGTGCCCTATTCAGGTGGACGTTAAAGATCTCCCGCGGCGCTATTCGAAAAGCGAAGGGAGTTTCTCTCTCTCCGGGTGTCCTGGCCGACAATCCCCCAAATAAAATTGGTCACTCAAGCCAAGGCTGTTTGTGGGACACTGCTGTGCACAGACTGGCTGCCACGTTTGCTTACAAAACACACAGTCACTGCACTTCGCAGTATATCCTGTGAAGCGTTTTGAGATGTCCTCCCGATGTGATATTAATAATAATAATCCTTGTATTTAATATAGCATCTTATCACGTTGTTGAGACGTCTCAATGTGCTTCACAGGATTCACTGCAAAGTATAGTGACTGTGTGTTTTGTGGGCGAAATGTGGCAGCCAATTGCACACAGCAGTGTCCCACAAACAGTGGTGGATTGAGTGACCACATTATTATTATTTTATTTATTTTTTTTGGAGGGATTATTACCCCTGGAAAGTGATCCGCCAATCGACTAACAAGCGGGTTCCTAAAAGGTGCTGTGTCAAATGTAAAGATTATTATTGTTGTTGTTGTTGATGTTGTTGATGTTGATGATGTTGGCAGCTGGCAATGATTGGGAGTTGGTTTGTTTGTGTGTGAGTGAGTTTCAAGATCCTCTCACTCGTCTTCAAACCCCTTCACGCCCTGGCACCTCCCTCCCCACCTCTCTCACCTGCTCACCCCCCACTCCACCACCCGCTGCCTCCGCTCGACTGGCTCTGGCCTCCTGCTTGGCCCCCGCCCCCTCCGCTCCACCATCGGTGGCCCCGCTCTGAGCCACTGCGCCACAAAACACTGTCACTCTCTCCCCCCAATCCCTCCCTCCACCTCGCCCCTTCCTTCCCCATCTTCAGTCGCGCCTGAAAACCTTTCTCTTTGCTCAGTGCCTAGAGTCCCCTCCCCCTCCCTCCCCCCAGCTCGAGGTCAGGCTCCGTCACTGTCAAGCGCTCTGCACGCTGCCCTGGGTGAGGGGCGCTGTGTTATTGTTGATGTTGATGTTGTTGTTGTTGAGTCAGTGAGTGTTTGTTTGTTCTCAGACGGTCATCACAACTCCTCAGATCTGTGGGGCCCGTCGGGGCCGATTGCCCAGGGTAACTATGGAGGTGTTCAGGGCCCTCCGCCCTCTCACATGTCCCAGTCCAACAGCTACAACACTCTGCACCCCACCGACAGATTGGTGAGTCTTCCCTCCTTCCGTTTCCCTCGCATACTTGGCTCCATTCCTGTGCCTCCTCCCCACATGGCTGTGATTGGCAGAGTGGGTCAAGTCAAGCAATGGGTGGGTGGGTGGGTGAGTTGTGGGCAATGCCCACTTCTGATTGGCAATCAGTTGTGGGTGGTGGGGGCTAAGGGCTGTGATTGGCGGAATGGGTTGGGGTTGATGGGGGGAGGGGAGCAGGCATGACCCCAGTTACCCCCGCCCCCCCCAGCTACACCAATGCTCACAGGATAACCCCCCCCCCCCTCACTCTTCCTACAGAACTACACCCCCTCAGACGTCAACACTCCGCTGCCCCCAGTCACCAGCTTCCACAGGAGCAGCGGGACAGGAGCCCCCTTTGTCACATCACCTCACACACCACCCCTCAATGTCTCGGACACCATCATGGGTAAGTCATCGGTCTGTGGGACTGGGGGGTGAACCAGTCTGACACCCATACACCCGTCACCGTGATCTGCCGGGTGTCTGACACACAAGGAAACCCATCACCAAACCCATCACCGTGACCAGCCGGGTGTCTTGACACACACGGAAACCTGTCACCGTGACCAGCCGGGTGTCTTGACACACACGGAAACCCGTCACCGTGACCAGCCGGGTGTCTTGACACAGAAACTCATACACAGACACACACACACAGTCTTGACACACACACACACACACACATAAATACAGATACACACAGACACTTACACATTATGACACACACATTCGGACACACATAGACACACTGACAAACACAGTCTAACATACACACAGACACATAGGCACACACAGGTACACACATACATAATCCTCTAATGATGGGGGTGCTGATCTCTGTTGCTTGTGTCCCCAGGGAGCAGAGGAAGCACATCAGGGAGTTCACAGACCGGAGACGCTCTGGGCAAAGCCCTAGCCTCGGTGAGAACATGTGTCGCCTCTACCCAGGCCCTACGTGTGTGTCTGTGGGTGGGTGTGTGTGCACCTGTATGCGTGTGTGTCTTTGTGTATTTGTCAGGCTCTGTGTGTTTGGGGAGTGTGTGTGTGTGGGGGGTGAGGATGCTGAACACAATCTGATGATTAATGTTAAGAGCGACAGTGAGTCAGTCAGTGAGAGACTGATTCAGTCAGTCAGTCGGAGCCACTGGCTCTCATTTACCCTTTTAAATCCTGTCAGAGAGAAGAGGCCCCAAAAAGGGGGGCATATTATCTTAGCCCTCACTGGCTCTGTGTCTGCGCTCTCTCTCTCTCTCTCGCTTGCACAATTTCTCTCTCTCTGTTTTCCTCTGAGTCTGTGTGTATGTGAGTGTGTGCGTGTGTTAGTGTGCGTGTGTGTATGTTGGCAGACCCAGAGTTCTTCCTGATACCCCCCCCCACCCCCACGCCCCGAAAAACAATTCCTAACCTCAACACTTCCTCTGCCGCCTCCCCCCAGCGGTTGTGTTTGTGTGTCTCTCTTTCCTGTCTGTGTGTGTGAGTGTGCTTGTGTGTGTGCGTGCGTGTGTGTCTGTCTCTCTCATTGAAACCAGAGCCTTTCCCTTCCCGTTTAAAAAGAGAAACAGCTGCTGGGAATGAAACCGTACAAAGGCGGTGAGAGACTAAGGAGGGCTAGCGAACCCTTTAATACAGTCAAACACAGTCGCTCACACACACACTCGCTCTCTCTCGCTTCTGAGTCAGGAGATTGTGGGTTCAAGCCCCACCACCAACACACACACACACGTCGGAGATTCTGAGCTCACAGTCTAGGCTGACATTCCAGTGCAGCGCTGGTGGGGGAGAGAGGGAAGGAGAGACATTGTCAGAGACACTGTCCTTTTCAGACGAGACGTTGAACCAAACTTATCCTGCCCATAAGTTTTTCTCTTTCTCTGTCTCCCTCCCTCTCCAGTCTCTCTTTGTGTGTGTGTGTGTGTGTGTGTCTCTCTCTCTCTCAGTTCATTCCAATCCAGAGGGACTGTGTAGTGTTTGTTCCAAAACCATCACAACTCATTCCCTGAGACACTGATCAGGGTTTAATGAACGGTGCGTTTTGGATGAGGAATTTTCAAAGAAAATGTAACCCTTCCAGTGCTGGGACTTTACTGCATTTTACGAGCAACAAAATACGCATTCCCCTGCCTTTAGCACAGAACATCTCCAAAGTTCTTTGTAGGCTTTTACTGAGAAGCGTAGTGACTGTGTTTTGTCCCCGCAACCAGCCATGTTCAGCCAATACACAATGTTAAGTACTCCCGAGATGCTACCCTGTGTGATGGGCACTGTGTAAATGCCCCACCATCAACAGTCAGGCCTTTAGCCTCTCTCTGCCTCCACCCTCTGGAACTCCATCCCACAGTCCCTCCGTCTCGCCCCCTCCCTCACCTCCTTCAAGGCCCGTCTCAAGATCTTCCGTCCCTTCGGTCACCCTCCCACCCCCACCCTCCCTCCACCTCCTGATCCCAACCCCCAGCTCAGCGCCAACCCCCTGACTGTCCAGCGCCTCGGGACGTCCTCCCGATGTGAGAGGCGGGCGCTGGGTAAATATCATGTGTTATTGTTGTTGGGCTGTTGTTGTTGACTCTCTCTCCCTCCTCACTCACTCCTCTCCTGTTACAGATCTACTCCCCTGAACACACCAGCAACACTTACGCCTCCAGCCCGTCCACTCCAGTTGCATCTCCGCCATCTCTGACAAGTAAATTTCCTTCCCTATCACTCCCCTTCCCCACTCTTTCCCTCCCTCACTCCTTCCCTCCCTACCTCTCTCCCCCTCTCTCTCTCACTCTTCCTCTCCCTCGCTCCCTCCCGCACTCTCTGTAATAGTTTATTGTCTATTGACTGTCTGTCTGTCTCTCTCTGTAGGTTCCACACAATGGTCCAGATCTGCCGGTCAGACCTCTGCCTCGCCCGGGTATGAGAGTTCCCTGCACTCACTGGTAAGCTCTCGCTCTCCCTCCCCCTCTCTCTCCCTGTGACTGAGTGCTACACAGGGAAGCACCCCCCAAATCTCAACAGATTTACTTGTCAGAGTGTGTGAACACATTAGGGTGTATGTGCACACGTTGGGGTCTGTGTATAGTGTGTTGCTGTGTGTGAGTTGCAGTGTGTGTAGTGTGTGTGTGTGCGTGTGTAGGTGTGCGTGTGTAGGTGTGTATGCGTGTGTAGGTGTGTGTGTTGCTGTGTGTGTGTGTGTGTTGCACTGTGTGTAGTGTGTGTGTTGCAGTGTGTGTAGTGTGTGTGTTGCAGTGTGTGTGTTGCAGTGTGTGTGCTGAATACTTGCTCTGCTCTGCATGGCTTTGCTAACCAACACCCCCCCAACTCTCTTTACCTCCCTTTAGAAGCCCCCCCCTGACTGGCCGGTCAAGGAACACTTGCACGAAGCATTGTCTGTCTTAATGGATGTGTGTGAGGTAGTCGTTCATTAACCCTTTGCTGCCACCCCCCCCCACACACACCCTTCCCTGATCCCCTCTTTCCCTCCCTCCCTCCTCTCCCGCTCTGCCTGCTCCCTGCCTCTCTACCACTCCTTCGGTCACCCTCCTACCCCACCCGCCACCCCTCCTGATCCCAACCCCCAGCTCGGGTCCAGATCCCTGACTTCCAGCACCTTGGGGCGTCCTCCTCACGTGACAGGCTCTATTGCCTATATTCCTGGCTCAATCTTGCACCTGAAGACTTTACTCATCAACCGTACCTACAGTCATCTCCCCCTCTCCCTCCCCCCGGCTCAGTGTCAGGCTCTGCCACTGTCGGGCGCTCTGGGGCGCTGCCCTGCGTGAGGGGCGCTGTGTCATTAAACCTTTAACATATTTTGCGTTTCGCCCACAAAATGCGCAGTCACATCTTTACAGTGTATCCTGTGAAGCGCTTTGAGACATCTCAAAGACGTGATAATAATAATAATCCTTGCATTTGATACAGCGCCTTATCACGTTGTCAAGACGCTTCACAGGATCCACTGGAGAGTGTAGTGACTGTGTTATTGTTAATAATAATGTCTGGTCTGTTCCTGCAGCAAACCCGGATGGAGGATCGTTTAGACAGACTGGATGATGCCATTCACATCCTGAGGAACCATGCTGTGGGCCCCTCGGCCAGTCTGCCCCCTGGGGCCGGGGACCTGCACAGTCTCCTCTCCCCCTCCTCTCACGCCAGCCTGGTGGGGGCCCTGGGCTCAGCATACCCCTCCCCCAGCATAGCCCCTGTCTCCCGCACAGCCTCCATGGTGAGAGAGAGCATCACCCTGTGTGTGTGTGTGTCTCTCGTTCTGTCACTGTATCTGTGTGCGTCACTCTCTCGCTCTGTCACCCTGTGTGTGTGTCTGTGTCTCTCACTCTATCACTGTGTGTGTGTTGCTGTGTCACCCTGTGTCTGTGCCTCTCACTGTGTCATACTGTGTCTGTGTCTCTCACTCTGTCACTGTGTGTGGGTATGTCTTGCTCAATCTGTCTGTCTCTCTCTCATGTTCTCGCTCTCATTCTGCTCCCACTCTCTCACTTTCTCATGCGAGAGTCGATGTGAAATAGCCCCACAGTTTGGGGTGGAAATCATATGCAGCTTTTCTCACCTGTTGTGTGGAGTGTGAGTCAGCCCGGCACGGAGGGCTGGGGGGGTGTTGTGTTTGATGTTTGGCTGTTAAATGCGGGGTGGGGTGGGGGGGGGGAGTGTGTGGGGGGGTAGACAGACAGACACGCCCTGTTCGTGCTCCCTTTGGCGTCTGCCAGTGTTGATAAGACAACGAGCTTGCCAGAGGTTTCGCAAGCGACTAGCTGACATCTCTGTCTGTCTGTCTCTCTCTCTCCCCGGAGATGTTCTCTCTACCACAGGAGATTCATTTTGATGTCAACGTCTTAATTAAGTTGTCACCTCCCTCGCATTTGACCTGGCGCCTTTCACCCTGGGAGGATGTTTCGAAACGCTTCACAGCACTCACTGGAAAATGTAGTAACTGTGTGTTTAGCAAGGGAGCCGGTTTGTGCCCAGCGACGTCCCCGCCAACAGCCGCGAAGTGAGCCAGCGGTTTAATATGTCGGCCTGAACACCGGGTGGGGGGGTGGGGAGAGAGGAAACCCCTTCTCTTCTCTCCCCCCCCCCCCCCAGAGAGAGAGAGAGAGACAGGCAAAATCCTGCAAAGCGCTTTGAGACATTCCCCGCCCCCACAATCCCACACGAGAGAAACAGCATGAAGCTGAGAGAGGGTCAGAGTCGCTGATTGCAAAAGCAGGCGACACGAGAGAGAAACGGAGGGAGGGAGAGGGTGGACGGGGGGAGGGGGAAGAACTGTGGCTGTGGAATTTTGAATGCTTTTGTTCGAGGTTGCTGTTAGCCAGTCTCTCAGCCTCTCTCCCCATCCTCCCCCCTGTATCCTGGCCATCAGCCACACATAGGACAGCTGTATGCAAATACATCAAACAAAGCGTTGGTTTAAACAACCTTTGGCTTCCCATCCCCCGCTCCGCAAACTCTCCCTACACCTGTTGTCTACATTCCTCCCCATCTCACTTCTTTGTCTTGGTGCAGAGTTCTCTCTCGCTCTCTCTCTCTCTCTCCCTTGCCCCCCCACCCACTTCCCTCCCCGACTTCCAAAACAGTCACTGCTTTGAGATATTCCCCACCGACCCATCTCTCTCTCTCGCCGTTTGTGCCCTGTTCATGTGGACGTTAAAGATCTCCCGTGGCGCTGTTGGGGGGGGGGGAAGAGATGGGAGTCTCTCTTTTTCCCGGTGGCCGGGCCGACAGATAAAATCACTGGCCTCGCTTCACGGCTGTTTGTGAGGACGTCGCTGTGTGCAAATGGACTGCCAGTGAAACACACAGTCACTACACTTTACAGCGAGTGCTGTGCAGATGTAAGGGTGATCAGGGCTAAATTTCAAGTCTGTTGTCGCCACATGTCAACATTGATTGGCCTTGTTTAATGGCGAGTCTTTGTCGCCACTTGGTGTCCAGGACTCAATACTGCAGCCTCTGTGGTTTAGTTCAGCCATCTTGAGAGTTGCTTTGTGAGTCACTAAACGACACTGAATCCTGTGAAGCACTTTGAGACGTCCTGAGATGAAAGGTGCTGTGTGTGATGTAAAGCCCTTTGAGACGTCTCGACAATGTGAAAGTGAATGGAAGGCTGATTATCAGGGCTGACTCTGTGTTCTCCCTCTCACAGGTTGGGTCTCATCGTGATGAAGGAGCTAACCTGCCCTCTGGCCTCTCTGGGCTGCCCTCAGTCGTATCTGCTGCCCTGGCTGCAGCCGGCCTCAGCCACCAGGCCCAGGACATGTGCCGAGGTGAGGCTCACTGCCCGGGGAGAGAGAGACACACACACACACAGTGATAGTCCTGTAGCTCAGTGGTTAGAGCACTCGCTTTGCAAGCGAGAGACCTGAGTTCAATTCCAGGCAGAGGGCGAAACCTTGGGCAAGTTTCCTTACTCCACACAGAGCCTAATAATAATCCCTCCAAAACCCAAAACAATAATAAATTGGTCATTTTCAATCTACGACTGTTTGTGGGACATCGCTGTGCGCAATTGGCTGCCGCGTTCGCCCACAAATATACAGTCAATTCACTTTACAGTCTATTCTGTGAAGCGCTTTGGGACGTCCTCCCGACGTGAAAAGCGCTATATCAAATGCAAGGATTATTATTATTATTATTATTATAGTCAAATCCACGCATACACACACACACAGATACTCACACTGATACAGGCATACACACACACAGTCACACAAGCGAGAGGACCCGGGTTCGATTCCCGGATGGGACAGGTCAGGGTGAAACCTTAGGCAAGTTTCCTTACTCCCAACACACACAGACGCGCACACACACAGTGATGAGGCACTGAGTCAGATCAGGATGATTATTATGGTTGTCTCGCTCATGCCTCCCCCAGCCTTTACGTCGGGAGCTCAGAGCCTGGTGTCGGCCTTGTCCGCGGAGGCCAAAGTGGGGGAGGACAAGGAGAAGGAGAACCTGGGCTCCCAGCTCGATGATGACCTGTCAGAGGACGATGATGATGATGATCGTAAAGACAAGTCCAGCCGGAGCCGGGCTAGGTAGGTACACAGCTCCCCCACCTCTCCCGCATCTTCCTCTTCACTCCTAGCCACAGGGCAACAGGAGGCCATTCAGCCCCTTGAGCCTGTTCCACCATTTTATAAGATCATGGCTAATCCGTACCTCAACTCTAATTACTTCGTTTCTCTCTCTCTCTCTACCCATTGCACTCTCGTGTCCCCCACATTAACAACAACAACACAATGACATGTATAAAGTACCTTTCACGTGGGGAGGATGTCCCAAGGTGCTGGACAGACAGAGTTATGGACCCGAGTTGGGGATCAGGATGGGGCAGGGGGGGAAGCAGGGAGATAGAAAGCACGGTCAAAGAGAAGGGTCTTGAGACGGATCTTGAAGGTGGCGAGGGAGGGAGCGAGGAGGAGGGACTGCAGGATAGAGTCCAGAGGGTGGGGGCACAGTGGCTGAAGGCCCGCCCGCCAATCGTGGGGCGGGCAAGGCGGGGGACGTGAAGCAGGCCGGAGCTCGCTGAGCAGAGGGAGCGAACAGGATGGTAACGGTTTAGGAGGTGGCAGAGGTCGGGGGGAGCAAGACCATGGAGGGCTTTGAAGGTGAGGACCAGGATCTTGAACTGTATCCTCTGGAAGCCAGTGGAGCCTCTCTCTCTCACCCTCTCCTCTGCTCCCCACAGTAACCACGAGGATGAGGACCTGAACCCAGAGCAGAAAGCCGAGCGGGAGAAGGACCGACGAATGGCCAACAACGCCCGGGAGCGACTGAGAGTCCGAGACATCAACGAGGCCTTTAAGGAGCTCGGCCGCATGTGTCAGCTCCACATGAAGAACGACAAGCCTCAAACCAAGCTGCTCATCCTGCACCAGGCCGTGTCCGTCATACTGGGGCTCGAGCAACAGGTCCGAGGTTAGTCACACAAGCCCCTCTCAAAATATTACCCCCCTTCCCCTCGAGTCGTGTAGCTCAGGGGTTAGAGCTTTCGCTTCGCAACCCAGAGGACATAGGTTCAATTCTGGGTTTAATCCCTTCAATAAATAATAACAGTAATAATGTGGGACTGTTTGTGGGATGTTGCTGAGTGCAATTGGCTGCCGCATTTTGCCCACAAAACACAATCCTGTGAAGTGTATTGAGACATCCTCCCGACATGAAAGGTGCCATGTTAATGAAAGGATGAGTAATAATGATAATAAAGATGATCCCTTTGTCTCGCTGTTTACACAGAGAGGAACTTGAACCCCAAAGCAGCGTGTCTTAAACGCAGGGAAGGTGAGAAGGTGTCTGGCGGGGGCATGGAGACAGCGTCTGCACATCTAGTCTCTCACCAAGGGCTTGGGGACGGCCCCAACCCAATGGGTCACATATAAACCAGGTATGTTCTCCATGTGTGTGTGTCAGACACCGGCTGATCACGGTGACGGGTTTCCGTGTGTGTGGGTCAGACACCGGCTGGTCACGGTGACGGGTTTCCGTGTGTGTGGGTCAGACACCGGCTGGTCACGGTGACGGGTTTCCTGTGTTTTATATTGCAGGCCGGACACTCACTCTCTGACGCTCCTGCTTGGTTCAGTGGAGGACGCAGGAGTCTCTCTCCTTTGGACCCGGATTGCAAGAATTGCTTGCGGGGGGTGGGGGGGGGAATGGACTGACACACGTGGGAATAATGGGGGAGGGATGGGGAAAAGGTGAGAGAAAGAGGGAAGGCGGGAATATTCCAAGAATTCAAATTTGGGTCGGGTGCAAAAGGCTGGCGAACTTTTGGGGTCCTGACTTCACAAGCTGCCTCTGTCGCACCTCTCCCTGCCCCTTCCCCCCCACTCTGTCCATTCCCCCCACCCTCCCACCCCACAGATGAAAAAAGACAGTATTTATCCTTTATCCTTCCCCCTCCCTCCCTCTCTCCCTCATTTGTTGTGTGGTTTGAGGTCACTGGAGGAGGGGAAAACAAGGCATTTCAGGGGAGTCTCTGTAGGTTGTATGTGACCTGGTGGGTGGAGGGAACGGTGGATTAAGCACTTGAGGAGGCATTGGGTCCTACCAAGCATTCATTAGGGGTGGATGAGGCAGGAGAGAGAGGAAACTGGGACTACACTCTCCCTCTCCCCTCTTCCCCCCTCTACTTCCTCCTACCCCCAATGTAATGGTGCATTTAGTTTGGTCAGTGAGCAACACACAGATCTGGGTACTCATTCCCTCTATTTCCCCCCCCCCCACCCTCTACACTGCATCCGTCCACACTCCCAGGTCAGGGTTAGAGACACAGTAAAGCTCCTCTACACTGTGTGTCCACACTCCCAGGTCAGGGTTACAGACACAGTAACGCTCCTCTACACTGTGTGTCCACACTCCCAGGTCAGGGTTACAGACACAGTAACGCTCTACACTGCATCCGTCCACACTCCCAGGTCAGGGTTAGAGACACAGTAAAGCTCCTCTACACTGTGTGTCCACACTCCCAGGTCAGGGTTAGAGACACAGTCCCTCTACACTGTGTGTCCACACTCCCAGGTCAGGGTTACAGACACAGTAACGCTCCCTCTACACTGTGTGTCCACACTCCCAGGTCAGGGTTACAGACACAGTCCCTCTACACTGTGTGTCCACACTCCCAGGTCAGGGTTACAGACACAGTAACGCTCCTCTACACTGTGCGTCCACACTCCCAGGTCAGGTTTAGCATGGGGATGGAGGGGGAAAGTGGTGTGGTTGGAGTAGGGGTGGAAGGGAATGGCGTTAAGCTTAAAACAGAAAGGAAAATCTCGAAGGAAAAAAAAGACTTATTTTTTCTCTATTCTTTTAGCATTTTTATACAATAATCTTTTTAAAAAAAATTAAATATTAATCTTCATAGCTATTGAGAATTTTTTTTACGAAAGACATACACCCCAAAAAACAGAGTTCTGAGCGAGGCCGGTTTATTTTTGAAACGTATTATTTTAGGATTGTTTTTTAGAGACTTTTTAGACGAGATTATTTTGTTAGCGGAGTTTTTGCTATAAATTGCTGTTGTTGACAAGTGAGCCACGTTGCCTTCGCTCCCAGTCATTCTCTCTCTCTCTCTCACACACACACTACAGACAGTAATACTAATCCTGGCATTTGACCAAGCGCCTCATCACGTCTTTGAGATGTCTCTAAAGCGCTTCACAGGACACACTGTAAAGTGCAGTGACTGTGTTTTGTAAGGAGGAATGGTACCCAGGTGGGTATAAGCCTTCTCTTTCCGCCCCCCAACCCACATGCAATGTATAACAACAACTTGCATTTATATAGCACCCTTCACGCAGAGTAGCGTCTCGGAGCGCTTAAGTGTGAGTTGTTATTTGTGGGGTGGGGTGA